TTTCTTTCTGTGTCTTACCCTCTTGCTTGAGGGTGTCAATGATGGCCTTCTGGACAGCAGTCAGGTCGGCAGTCTTACCCATGATTGCGGTTTTGAGTAATGAACAAGGCTGGGAGTTTTTAAAAGCCTCAGGAATCTTTTGCAGGTGTTTAGAGTTACGTCGTTGATTCAGATGGTTAGGTTAATAGCTTGTTTAGAGAACCTTTTCATGATATGCTAATTTTTTGGGACAGGCATTTTGGGTTTTCATGAGCTGTATGCCATAATCATCAGTATTAAAACAATTAAAGACCGGAAATATTTCAGTTGTTGTGCAATGAATCTGAAATATATGAAAGTTTCATTTTTATCATTACATTATGGAAAATAATGGCCTTTATCACAATATGCAAATTTTTTGAGAAGGACCTGTATATGTCTGCGTTTTACCTACCTGCGTGCTGAAACCATGTGTCACGTTACATCCAATACTGAAACTTGACACCGAAAGAAGAGTCATGTTTCAATCCATACACGGACCAACGCAGTTCGGTCGGTGCCATAAAAGAACCTTGGTTCGGTATACAGCCCTAAACCTGATTTTCATGGAAACTACAGCGTTTGTGTGTAAACCTGCTCAATTTTTATTTATACCCACAATAAACATTGAAAAAAACCCATAAACGTTTCCAGAGGTTGTTCTTTTGTAAACGGGTCCTTATAGTAGGTAGATCACTGACTTGGTCATTTTAAAAGGAGCTTGCATGCTGAAAAAGCATGGGCACCCCTGGCCTAGATTGTTGAAAGGTTTCTCTATAACGTTGGTGCTCGTTGGTTGCTGGTGACGTTAAACATCTGTCTGACAAACAATATTTTTCCACCTGAACACTTCACATTAAGATCGTAGTGGTAGCAGCCTCAGTAAATTGAAGTGTGTGTTATAATTTGTTGTCGGATACTTTGATTAGGTGGTTGTGTTCAGGATTGTTTGTATGTTCCTCGGCAGGTACGCCAGCTTATACTTTTGTTGTGCTATTGAGGAGCAGGACAATGAGCTGATTACGCTGGAAGTAATACATCGCTTCGTCGAGCTCCTGGATAAATACTTTGGCAGTGTAAGTGTTGGAGCTATGTGCCATCTTTCTCCTAATCTGATGAAAATGTTTGTGGTTAAACCAAGCCTTGATGTGTTTCTTTGCAGGTGTGTGAGCTGGACATAATCTTTAACTTTGAAAAGGCCTACTTTATTTTAGACGAATTCCTGATGGGAGGAGAGATCCAGGACACATCAAAGAAGAGTGTTCTCAAGGCCATTGAACAAGCTGATCTACTGCAGGAGGTGCGTCTCAACATCTTCTTTTTTCAGCTGTTCCCTCTTCAGCGGTGGCCACTGCAACTTATCCTATATGAACTGACAACATAATCTCATCATTCTGACTTAAGCCTTGATTGTGAGACTCCAACATTATTCTGAGCTGTAAGACTTCATCTAAACATTAAGACTCTTATCTCAATATTATTTCCTCTAATCTCAAAGTTTACTCTAATTTCAACATGACTGATCTCAAGATTTTGTCTTCTCAACATTATGTACAAATTATTTAAAAATCGCAAAATGCAATTTTTTTAGATTCTCATATTTGAAGTGTACCACAATAAAATTACACACCTCCATTCTTTACAGGTGGTAAAACTTGTAAAATCGGCAGTGTATCAAATACTTATTTTCCCCACCGTGTGTGTGTGTGTGTATATTTATATATATATATATATATATATTTTTTTTTTTTCCTTTCGGCTGCTCCCTGCATTAGGGGTCGCCACAGCGAACTAAGTCGCACGAAAACTTGGCAGTTATTTTTACAGCAGATGCCCTTCCTGACACAACCACAAACCACCGAGCTACCACAGCCCTCTGTGTGGAGCAGAGAGCTGCTATCTAGGACACCCAGAGGAGGAGATGGTGGGGGTTAAGGGCCTTGCTCAAGGGCCCAGAGTAGGGCGAATGATGGTGGGGGCAGGTGTGGGTGTTTCACCTACCCCACCCAGATTTTGATGATGTCCGTACCGGGGCTTGAACTGGCGATCTTCCGATCACAGGCCCACCTT